AGGTTCCACGGCAAGGGTCTTCCGGAGGTCTACAAGATGCATGTATTTTCGTTCTGTATGTATCACAACACTATGCGTACAGTATTTTGCCGGTTCTCTGTTGCCTCGAGGTACAAAGATTACATTGCGTGCGCCGCTGGGATGTCGAGTCTCGAACCGAGGACGGATATTCGGGGCCTAGCGCAGCTGTATTGTTTGAAGAAGCCGAGGCCGAGTCACGTCCAGAAGAAACTGCATAATCGATGGCAGTCTCACTGGTCAAGTGCGAACACCTCCTTTGTTCAATCTACTAGATAGATCGACGTTGATGCGCGGCGGCTCATCCCCCCTGAGGATCAAAAATTTCCGGGTTCGTCTAGGTTCCTGCAACTAGAAGTTGAGTGTGGTAGGATATGAGAGTGTTGCTCACCTCAAGCGTCCCGACTCAGACCTGTCAGTTTGCTCGAACCACGCGATTCATCGGCATATATGAAGCGGAGCCCATCATGATACCAAACTTGTCACGGTGCCAACGACCCAAAACATTCTAGCACGAGGCGGCGAGATGCCTGTCAAGAATACCTGCTGGGCTAGGTGTCCTACGTGGACTCGGTATTATCCAAAGTTTCCTCCGGCGTCAATTAATACAAAAAGCCCTCAATATCCCGCCACGTCTGGCAGACTATCCAACTCAACAACCCTTTTCTCTCCAACTTTAGACATCAGCCAAGTATAGCCGGTCTATACAACAAGCAATTTCTATATTCAAAAACCCCCAAACACCCTCAACATCTTTGAAAATGGTTCGCATCTACAACTTGGCTCTTATTGCTCGTAGGTTTCTGCCCTGATCCCGCGGTATCCCGCACACTCTCAACAGCCTTCTGACTCTCTCCCGCATCAGTGAGCGCGTCTGCCCTGGCGGCAACTACTCATAATGAGCGCCGCGCAGTCGACGACGTCAGCGAGTTCGACCTTGCCAGCCGATCCGCGCCCTTGATGGACTTTGCCAAGCGCCAGGACCAGAAGGTACAGGACGCCTTTAAAGAAATGAAGGCGGCGGCCAAGGCGGCCAAGGCTGCCATCCCCGAGGCCGAAAAGAACAAGGTGGACGAAGCCAAGAAGACCCTGAAGGCCGCCAAGGACGCGGCCCAGGCTAAGATTCCCGAGGAGGAAAAGAACAAGGTAGAGGAGGCCAAGAAGGGCGTGCAGGCCGCCAAGGAGGCTGCTGATGCCGCTATTCCCGAGGATCTCAAGAAGCAGCTGGACGAGAAGAAGAAGGCCTTCAAAGAAGCCAAGGGCCAGGAGGCTCCTCAGGGAGCTCCTGCACCGCCTGCTCCTACCGAGGCTTCTCAGGGAGCCCCTGCGCAGCCTGCTTCTACCGAGGCCCCAAAGTTGTAAAGCTGCTTTGGAAAAGATTGAATTCGTGGAGGGGACCAGAAGGCTTCCCGTGAAGGGGTGGAAGATGCCCTTTTCATGGTCTGCCATCTGCGAACCGTGGGGTACAAGCGCAACTTGCATTGGTCTTATTTTTTTGGGAAACCTGAAAAACGTCTCTTTGAGTTGGCAGATGGGTAATTGTAAAGGCTGAAGACGGCCGTGAGGAAGTTGATGATGGGTGTAGTATAGCCCGAGTTTTGGGCTGATGTCGATTTGACATTGATGTTTAATGGAGTGACAAATAAAAAGCGTGTTAGCGACTGGCAGATCTTGACGGCACTTAATGAATACAGGAAAAGGACGAAAAAAATCAAGAAACTTTAAAAACTTTCAAAAAAAATTAAAACTAAATCTAAAACTATTAATATTAATTCCAAGTTAATAAATAATTTATAACAAAAACTCTCGCAGTAAGCCTACTTTCCCAGCTTTTCTCTTTCGTTTCAAGTACGTCAGGTTCTCAAGTTGAATAGTTGCCAGAATGACCCTCCATTCAACAAGCCCTCTCTTCTGTACATGGGAGATTAATTAGTGTATTTCTCTTTCATCTGTCACTGTCCCCCACGCTAGCTTATCCCATGGAGCGAAAGCCCATCATCCTTCACCTGGACCTTCATGGTGTGGTATCCTGCGTCCTTTGACTACACATGTGCAATTGCTGACGGTCACCATGTTGACGACTCCCAATAGGTAGACCAAACTGTTTATACGCGTGTGTTGGTAAATATCAATGATATATTATAATTGTGCAGTGAAGCTATCATGTCAGAGCCCGTGGGACATTACGAAAACTCACTGTACCCAGACACGGGTCACCCGGTAAACGGTAGCAACGAGTAGGAAAAACGACCTTCTTTTTCCCTTCTTCCTAGGACATCCGTTATTTAGCTCCTTTGCGCCAGTGTTGAGAAGGGCCTCCAATTGTACGCTGCTCCATTGTTCTGGCTCAGAAGCAAACTAAGCGAGCTTTCCGCTTTCTGAATCGTTGAACACAACGGGCCACTGGCCGTTCTTTTGATGCCCTCTATCATTTCGCCGATTGCTGTGAGATATGTGTTGGTGCATAGATGGACCAGGTCATCTGCAAAAGAAGCGTTTCTGTGGTCTATAATTTTGAACTCGTGTCTTTGAAGCGAACAAGGCAAGGTTTGAATCCAACTATCGCGTGGGAATGTAAGAATCAAGGTCAACCGAAAAACATGGAAACTTTCAAAGTACCTGTAATCTCTCCCCGCAAGCTTGAAGAGCTCCTTCATTTGCTGATCAAATTCTTCCACCTGTTTCGTCCTAATTACGTGGTTACAGAGATCTGCGTCCTCCCATTGGATGTAGCCTCCAGGTTCTAATCCCATTTCAACCTGTTAGCGACTCTGAAGTCCTCAATTATAGAGTATTGGGCTTCTATACTTAGCATCTTGGAGAGGTTACAGATGAAAGAACCCACCTCCTTTGAAGACAGGTTGTTTGCCCACATTCGCAGGTGAACAACGTCGTATCGGCCTTGCAATTCAGTGGGAACATCTCCCAAGGAGTCTAGTTGCTTGAGCGAGACATTCTGGGGCAGCATCTGTGAAGGAGGAAACTGTTTGTCGGATATATCATATCCATGAAGAGTGACTGAGCTGGGAACCTCTCGTGCAAGATCCAGAAGCCAAAGCCTACGCCTATATGTCAGTGTGATACTCGACTCAAACTCCGTATATGGTTATGGAGAATATCCCACCCTGTTCCGGTCCCAATGTCTGCAACACTCATTCTTTCTGTAAGCTTTATGTGTGGGTGGAGCAAGTAGCCCTGATGTAGTCTCCAAAGGAAGTGCTGTGCATCTAATCTTTGCTCATCAACGAATTTAGCGTCATTCAAGCTGATGGGTGATCCAAGACATGGCAATTACCTCACGGAGTGGGCAACATCCCTGCCGAGAATATAACCGTCGATAGCTTCACTCGGCATTTTTTATACCAGTTGTGCGTGTAGAATGGGCTTGTTGATAAAACAAATATATTTTTATGATAATACTTATGTCCCAGCAATAATGTTGAATTGCAGCGGCTTGGAAGACGGGACGGGCAGAGTTGTAGGCGCTCGGCAGATTATTTATAATTCCAGTTCTATATTTCGGGCTGGCCGGCAAGGATGGCGTGAAGAGCAATTACCAATGCAATTGACAGCCGAGGATACGAGATTGCTATCCCGAGACTGTTGTTGTCGAGTCCGGCCCCGAATCATCCTAATCCTTCACTAGCTGAATCGCTCCCACCGGTCTCCCCATTAGGCAGGATGCATAAAGCCCCAGAGGTCGAGAGATCTCCGGCACTAAGACTAATGATGTAGTACGTGGCTTGCCATTGCTATTCTTGTAGCGTGCCTCATAGTCGTGGGTTTTATGTGGCTTTGCCCGTCTGAACCGTGTTTGTGGACGCAGTCGCCGACTTTCATCATAGTTGCAGTACCCATCACACTCATCAGACCAGCTGATCAACTTAATTGACAACCGCTGATGGGCTTCCTTCTTCTCAGAAGGGACGCCTTTTGTGTTGGTGTGTTACACTACACTTCGGACGCAAAAGTAGAATGATTCACAGGGGGGCGGCAAAGAGTGTTGAGCCAGGCCATGTACCCAGCTATCGCGCCTTGTACTATAACAAACTATAATACATTAGCAAATACTTCTTGGTGGGCAAATATCAGTTGCCACTAACTGTATACATGACTTGATGAAAGCTCAGCTAGCAAGCCACTCGCACAGCGACTCAGCTATGATGTTGTCGGTATGTAGCATGTCTCAGTAAGCCATCGGTCTGATTGGTAGCAAGTTTAGTGATGTATCAGAAACTACACTCCATACCCCGGCGACTTTGTAATCGGAGAGGAAGTGTACGCCGTTTATGTCGATATTGTCGTGGCCCAAGTCCAGATCCTCTCCTAGCTTCATGCTGTCTTAGACGAGGTCACCCTGATGCGAGTCTCGTTCAAGCTTGAGCCAACGGGAACGAGAATTAGCATCTTGTCACCGTGCACAGAAATAGTTCCTTCTTTCGCTTGCTTCACGCTCACGGGGCGACAAGTACGTTTGTGGCGCGAAGGTATCGTTCACACCCGATAACTACCCGGGGTACTGTATAATATAGGGATAGCTCTAAGCTGCTCATCTGTCAAGCAACATGAAGAACATTCCCTAGCGATGGTAGCGGCGATCATCCAGGCATTTGAGACACTTCCTCTCGCAGGTGGGCAGAAAGATGAAAGCCTCCAAAGTAAAAGCAAGAAGCACATCAATCAGACTTGGAGACTTGACGTATTCACATAACGGGATGAAGACTGAGTGAGCTGGTCTTTCCTCGGGCGGCTAATAGTGTCGGCGCATGCTCCATGAGTCACGATTTATGACCATCAGATGTATTGGAATAGCCTCGATACGCGTGAGCAGGCGCGACCCGTCTTCATGCCAGCATTACATAAGCGCACCGAAGCAGTCGGCAACCCTGGGCATGTATTGTTGTCAACTCAATCTTGTCAACGCCATCTGGTTCATTTAGAATACTAACCGAATTCTTGCCAGAGACGGCTTCGCCTCAGCATTAACCCACGGCCAATCGACCGGCCCAGTCCCTGATCAACAGGAACAAAGCCCAGAGAGCCCTCCCATCAGCAGCGACGCTGCTCTCACTGATGGAATCAACATCACCAAGCCCGGCAGCTATAAGAATAAATCGTCCTGCAGCCCACCGCGAGGTTGCGCCGGCTAGTGCAAGGATACAAGCTGTATAATATTTACAATCCAACAGAATTCTCAGAGCCTCGATATTATTCGCTACGACTGCCCAGCCCAAGGGCCTAGCTGCAGCAGGGATGTCATACTTCCATATAACCATGAGAATTGGGAATAGCTTCGTGTAGGAAGATAAGAGCAATGCCGTCGAGACCGAATTTGGACGTGCATATCGCGGCATGATACCCAGTATATCAAAGGGTGAATACGACGAGCAGGTGAGAAATCGAATAATAAGATGGAATGCCAGTGTTGATAATGTGCAGAGAACTAAGAAGAAGAGGTATTGGACCGTAATGGGCTGCTGGGCCAGGTTGCCTAGGTTGCCTCCACCAGGGAACATGGCTGGACCGGCCCGTTTCTCGATGCGCTCCCACGTCAGATAGACATCAAACAGCAGCAGCAGGATGCCCAGTCGGATGATGGAAGGCTGCTCCGAGTGAAAGGCGGGCGTGTTGGTTAGCACGTGTTCAGTATCAGCGTTGGCACGCCACGAGTGCCAGCAAGGAGAAGGACTCAAAATGGTCTCGTGTATACACGGCCAATGCGACAGACAGTTAGTTGTACATACATCGAACCGATCGCCATTCCGCATCAAGGTGTTGTGGAGGAGATGCCTGTAGACCTGTTCACGGAGGTCGCATCGCAATTAGCACCAATTGACAAACCAGGACGGCTCCTCCTCGACGCGGCAGACGGTACAAGCACCCAAGGCCATAGTTACCTGCGGCTTGATCAAGACCAAGTCTATGAAGATGACGACAAAGTCATGCTCGACATACTTGTCGCAAAAGAAACCGCAATTTCGGCAGACGCTTAGGCGAATGTTGTGTCCGCTGGACTGGTCACCAGCGCCCGAGTATTTGGTCCATAGCGTCTTGACAGGGTGTCTACACTCGATACAGATTGGCATTATATTGTAAGTAGTGCGAATCTATGAGGCTGGCACAAGCGATGGGTTGATGATCAGGGATGCCGTACTCGGTAGGCAGACTCCGAGATGTGCGAGGAGGATGGCAAACCGTGGACAGCGGGTGCTCAAGCGACCAATGGGAGGGGTGTTTGGATGTCAGGTCCAAGTTCCTCGTGCATACAAAGTACAGAGCTACGGAGTGATATATGCAGCTGACCCTGGCCTTGTTCATGTTAGTGCATAGTTATTTCTTCTGCATAGTGTTGAAGTTGAATTATGACCTTATAATTGTGGAGCCAGGGGAAAAAAGGAAGGCAAAAACAAAAACAGAAGCGCAGGGCAGACCACAGACCACAGACCACAGAGACCAGACTGTGCCCAATTTCACCTCGGTTTGGATCAAGGAGTTGCGGCAATTGCATGGTATTAATGAACACAGTGTTAGGCCCAACGCCAGAAGATTGCGTTGTAGCATGCATGTACTAGTATTAGTACCAACGATGGCTGGGTGGCTGGATCGCGCTGTTGAGTTGCCGAACCTTTGGGTTCCAAAGACGCCAAATAACCCAACCGAGGCAACTTCGCAGACGGATTATATCAAAAGAAGAATTAGTAATCATCAGGAAAGCTCACCAACATCTATTTTGGCTGCTGTAGACCAAATTTCGAAGGGGGCATGTGCAATAATGCAGAAGATGGCCCTCTTGAAGGCTGAGAATGAGCAACTTCGACCGGCAAATGCAGCACTAAGCAAGCAGCGTAGATCCAGAAAAACACGATTACGTCAAGGCAGTAGTATGAGCATTGCTGAGGGTCACGCTCTACAGGACCAAAAGGATGTTGATCAGCAGGTACAGCAAGAAAGTCGCCAAACCAGAGGTCGGAAGCCGAGGGATAAGACGAACGGCCGGCGATGTGGTAGATGCGGCAAGACCGGCCATAATGCGCGCACTTGCCAGATCACTGTAGAAACATCCAGTGAAGAGGATAGCTACTGATTTTAATTGAATTCTGCCGTCGTGGTTGATTTTTTGTATAATCTTTGCAAGAAGGTGGTTTGGGGTGGCTAGCACGCTTGGGGAGGAGTACGGTAGTGTTGGATAAGTATTCGTTGAATTATAACCCTACATTGTGGAGCCAGGCGAAAAAAAAAGGAAAAACCAGACGAGACCACAGACTTGACTGTGCTCAATTTCACCTCGGTTTGGACCAAGGAGTTACGGCAAATTACATGTCAATGAGGAGCAGAACGTCAAGCCCAACGCCAGAAGATTAGTATTTGCCAATGATGGCTGGGTGGCTGGATCGCGCCATTCACGGCCCGCCCACGATTCCTCCAGCTCCGTGGCGCATTCCCTTGTCGAATCGAGTTGCGAAAATGAGGCGACAACTCTGAAAATTACAAGGGTATCATTGACGCGATCTGAAGCACTATGTGTGGGGGAAATGGTCGCCGCAGTCTGACAGGGCAAAATTTGACCCTCATTTGCAAGCTATGGAATGAAGATGGTACCAGTGGAAATGCTCGTAGTCGGCTTCTTACACTGATGCCATTTGTCTACGGGTCAATGCTATCAGGTGAACAGGGCCAAGATCTCTAGACAATGCCAAAGGCTTCATGCCATAGCCGCAGATAACCTCCACGGGTAGATGTGAGGCGCCAATGCGATGCAAGACTGACTGTCGGAAGGTGATGAAATCCAACACAAACTGTACTTAGCTATGGGGCCTGAAATACAAGATTCTTAAGCATAATGTAGACATACTCATGGATGATAGCGAGTGAAATTGTCAGGGCCTATGCTGCTTAAATAGCCTCACGTACGTGGTTATTCAGCCTACCCACGGCATGATTTAAAGACCCTAAAAAAAGGACACCATAGCCTCTGGTTTGAGAAATGACTATTGAGTATTTTAGAGACATTTTAGCTTTATCGGACAGCTTAAATGGAGGCCATGAGGTCCTACTGCCTTACCCACTGACTATATTGCTCTTGCCTACCTAGTAGCTATAGCCATACATGGGCATTTTAGAGTAGAGGGAGCTCTACCCACCACGATTCCTCCAGCTCCATGGCGCATTCCCTTGTCGAATCCAGTTGCGAAAATGAGGCGACGACGCTGAAAATTACAAGGGTATCTATCATTCAATGCGATCCGAAGCACCATTTGTGTGTGGGGGAAATGGCCGCCGCAGTCTGACAGGGCAAAACTTGACCCGGCGGGACGGGACACCGGTCCTCGTTGCAAGCTACTATTATAAATGAAGACGGTGCCACGGAGTAGTGGAAATGCTCGTCATCGGCTCCTTACTGATGCCATTTGTCATGGTCAATGCCATCAGGTGAACAGGCCCAACATCTCTAGACAATGCCGGAGCCTTTATGCCACAGCCGCCGATGGCCCTCCACAAACAGACCTCAAGTGCCAATGTGATGGAAGGCTGACTAAACTGTACTTGGCTATGGGGCTTGAATTTAAGATTCATAAGCTTACATATGTACATACATACATAGACATGCCCATGTAAGTATGATGGTGGAATTGCCAGGGCCGATGCTGCTTAAGTGGCCGTTATTCAGCTCACCCACAACACGATTTAGGGACTCCAAAAACATACATACACCATTGGCTCTAGTTTGAGAAATGCCTCTTGAGTATTCTAGAGACCTTATAGCGTTATCGGACAGCTTACATGGAGACCATGAGGTTCTACCGCCTAACCCACTGACTATATTGCTCTTCAAGACCGAGCAGCTATAACCATCGGATCATTTTATCCATGTACATACCATGACAGCATCAGAACAAAATGGGGACCATCTACTGTTCTCTATTCTCTATGTTATTCTTTTCACGCTCTGCGTGTACATGTCTTCTAAATGCATAATATACACTCGCCGCGCCATTCGCTTCTCTCTCCACCGAAAGCATTAGTCTCCGGTTGTATACAATTGGCTTTTTTCTATACCAGTCGAACTAAAAATGGATATGTAGAAAACCCGACACGCTTTGTCGGTTGCTGTTCATGATAACCAGCAGGTAGAGTGGGTAGATTGATGGGTAGAGCGATGGGTAGAGTAGTGGGTAGAGCAGAGGTAGAAAATAGTACAGTAGAGAAGATAGATGCACGTTGTCACGGGACCAAATGAGATTAATTAAAAGATAATGCCACTATATTGCGAGAATACTAAAATGAAGATGAAAGAGATACGGGCAGGCGAGTGGATGAGTGGACGTGTTAGACGCGTTAAGTGCTATCTACGGCTGTCTTACACTGCCCCACTACCCCGCGACACTGGCCGTTGCCACACCGGGCAGCATCTACACTCATATAAAGAGGTCACTACAATTTATAATAGGTGAAATCAACAAAATTACACAGCTTCTCTAAGACTTTGGCGTTCTTAATCTTACGATATTATCAAATGATAAATTTTGTTTGACCAGCCAGGAGTGGGTAGAATGGGTAGAGCTCTACAATGCCCAAGTATGGCTATAGCCATCGTATCATTTTTATCTATGTACATATCATGACAGCATCAAAACGCAAAGGCAATTTGTCTACTGTTCTCTATTCTCTATTTTATGTTTTTCACGCTATACGTGTCCACGTCCTCTAGATGCATAATATACACTCGCTGCGTGATCGCTTCTCCATCCACCGAAAGCATTGGTCTCCGGTTGTACACAATTGGCTTTTTATACCAATCGAAATAGAAATACACATGTAGAAAAATCGACACGCTTCGTCGGTTGCTGTTCATGATAACCAAAGTCTCGCTTTACCCCCCGCGGAAGTGCTGCAGGCTAAATTCAAGGCTTTGCGTAAGCAAAATTGAGGGGAAGCATTCCAACCAGATCTTTTTTTTTTCCTTTTCCGCGAAAACAAAACAAGCTACAAGTAACACAGGGCAATGCAATATAAGGTCTGAAACATGCATGCTTCCCCGCGGAAGTGTTGCAGGCTAAATTCAAGACGTTGCGTGGGCAAAATTCAGGGGAAGCATTCCAACCGGACGTTTTTTTCTTCTTTTCGCAGCAACAAGCTGAATGGTAACAGAACGATGCTATATAAGGTCTGAAACATGCATGCGTCTCAACTCACGTGGAGTTGGAGTTGTCCGCACAGGACCAAACCTTGGAGCTTCCAGGCGTGTTGACAATGGTATAAATGATCCGCACAGGACCAAGCCTTGGAACTTCCCGGCGTGTTGACAATGGTATAAATGGCGCTATAAGTGCCAGCAATCATCAAAAAAGTCCCGATGACGACCACAAAGACACTGGAAGCCACTCCAGAGCACCACCATGGCTGTTTCCGGCCGTCGGATCTCTTCCAGTTGTCATACATCCACATGAAACCGGGTGGGGACTCCAGAGTACCATCGTGCCTGTTTCCGGCCATCGGTTCTCTTCCAGTTGTCGTACATCCACATGAAACCGGGTGGGTGGAAGCACAAAATCGGGCCGAGAAGTGCTCCAACAAGTGCAATAAGCTGTCCAAAAATGGGGATGGCGCTAGCAATCACATAGCCCACAGCGGTGATGGCAAAGGTTGAGCCCAGCCAAACTGCCCAGTGCTTGGGGGTGTTGGAGGCCAGATGCTTTTCACAACGGTGATGGTAAAGGTTGAGCCCAGCCAAACTGTCCAGTGCTTAGGGGTGTTGGAGGCCAGATGCTTTGAGTTACGGAGGACTCGAACGAAGATGGATTTGGCGGCAAGCTAGAGAATCACGGTTAGCTGCTTCAATTCTTGTTTGGCGATGGCTTCATGGGGGAGGCTAACATGGATGAGCAAAAGATCGGTGACCAGCAGACCAGGAAGAAAGATGTAACGGTTAGCTACTTCAATTCTTGTTTGGCGATTTCTTCATGGGGGAGGCTGACATGGATGGCCAAAAGGTCGGTGACCAGCAGACCAGGAAGAGCAATTCCATAGGCGACCTTCTTAATCAACGGGCCAGCCGAGCCGAGTGCAGGAGAGGCAACATAGGATCCGCAGAAGTAGTAGAGATTCCATACGCGACCTTCTTAATCAATGGGCCGGCCGAGCCGAGAGCAGGAGAGGCAGCATAGGATCCGCAGAAGTAGTAGACGACCACACCGACTACGATGTACGCCAAAGTAATGACACTTTGGCACACCATCAAAGCCTTGGTATAGTGCTTGGGATCTCTCATCTCGCACGATGTACGCCAACGTAATGACACTTTGGCACATCATCAACGCCTTGGTGTAGTGCTTGGGATCTCTCATCTCGGACGCAATACTGAAGAAAGTTGGGGTGCCGGCATAAGCAAAGATGAGTGTTGTAATGGCTCCCAGAGCGTCGCTGAAGGTGGGGTTCTTGAAAAGCTCGTAATCGTAATGGCTCCTAGAGCGTCGCTAAAGCTGGGGTTCTTGAAAAGCTCGTAATTGGACCTCCAAGGGCCCTCGTAGTCTTGAGAAGCAGTCGAAGGTTTACCCTGGACACCGACGGCGATTGTGACGGTGAAAACTAGACGATTCAAGAGTTAGAACAGGGCCGGACGTGAAAATTCACGGTTGTGCCCAGAGGGGCGTAAACTCACCAGCGATAACAATGGAAGTTCTCCAAGGGCCCTCGAAGTCTTGAGAAGCAGTCGTAGGTTTACCCTGGACACCGACGGCGATTGTTACGGTGAAAACTACATGATTCAAGAGTTAGAACAGGGTTGGAAGTGAAAATCCACGGTTGTGACTAGAGTGTTGTAATCTCACCAGCGATAACAATGGAAGTAACACCAATCCATGCCAACGCACTAATCTTACCCAGCGTCTGGATACTCGCAAAGGTGAATCCAAAAACCGCCGCCACTGCAACAAACACGGCAGTACATGCGCCATGGGTGGAAAGGGCATTGAAAGCAACCGAGATGCCAATCATGGCTGCGGCAGATGCAAAGGTCAAGACTGATGACGAGACTGGTTAGCAAAGCTCACACACACCCCTGGGCCGTGCCCACGCTCATGCTCATGGTGGTTAGTCGGTATGTGCTTACTGAGGGTAAAGGCAACCCCAAAGACCTCACGTCCACCCATGGGTGGAAAGGGCGTTGAAAGCAACCGAGATTCCAATCATGGCTGCGGCAGCCGCAAAGGTCAAGACTGATGACAAGACTGGTCAGCAAATCTCACACCCCTAGGTCATGGCCATGAGTCGGTACTTACAAAGGGTAAAAGCAACCCCAAAGACCTCACGTCCAATGCGCCCAAAGATCAGGCCGCCTGCATCGTCAATGCCGTATACTTGACGGTGTCGGAGCTTAAAAACACCAATCATATAGGCCGACCAAGTGGTGACGGTTCCAACGAACAAGAGAAGGATGACACCGGGGATGAGCCCCGTCGTCCATGCCGTATACTTGTCGGTGTCGGAGCTTAAAAACACCGATCATGTAGGCCGACCAGGTAGTGATGGTTCCAATGACCAAGAGGAGGATGACACCGGGGATGAGCCCCACGGTGTCAAAGACTGACGGGATCGAAAGAACACCCAGGCCGATTTGCGTCTTCATCATGAGATCAAAGACTGACGGGATCGAGAGAACGCCCAAGCCGATTTGCGTCTTCATCATGAGAGCAGCGGTTCCCAACCATCCAACCTGTTGGCCGGGACGATCAGCATATCGAGGCGACAGGAACAGGGTCAAAGAAGGCCATCAGTGCTTCGGCTTACATTGCGGTTGATCAGCATACCTGGGCGACGGGAACAAGAAGGGTCAAGGAAGGCCACCAGTGCTTCGGCTTACATTGCGGTAGTTGGGCCCATCGTCTGTGATGTTTCCAAAGACAGCATCGCTAGTCTTGACCTCGGTATCGATCACTTCTCTCTCAGACCGAGAAGCAGCAGGCTCGATCTGGTCCGAGAGATTGTGGGGGTCTTGGGAAGTCTTGGACATGTTGGCCAGTGACTATCCGTCTGTGATGTTTCCAAAGACGGCATCGCTGGTCTTGACCTCGGTATCGATCACCTCTCCCTCAGAGCGAGAAGCAGCACGCTCGATCTGGTCCGAGAGATCATTGTGCGGGTCTTGGGACGTCTCAAGCTTGGACATGTTGGCCAGTGACTAGACCTGGGGAGCAGGATAGTGCCAGATGAGATGAAGTAGAGACAGATCGTGCTCGAATGCGGAGAATATCATGGGGTACGGGGAACTATTGTTTTTTATACTCTGGGTCTTCCCCGTTGGCCGTTGGGGCCAAGATAAGATGAAGCAGAGACAGATTGTACTTGAGTGCGGAGAATATCATGGGGCACGGGGAATTACTATTTTTTATACTCTGGGCCTTCCCCGTTGGCCGTTGGGGCCAATATATTTCAATGGCAAAACGAGACTGGATGTGTCGATAGTCTGGGCCCGCCGCCGCTGCGCCTTGGTGTGAGAAACGTACAAGTTGGGAAAGAGCCAGAGAGAAAAACTTTATTCTCGTTAGTAGTGCTGGTTACGGGGAAGCGGGAAAGAAGAGAAAAATCCTCCACCACACACTTGCCCATTTGAGGAAGAAATTTCAAAACGTGTCGATAGTCTGGGCCCGCTGCTCGTTGGTGTGTGAATGTATAAATTGCGAAAAGTCTAGAGAGAAAAACTTTATTCTACTACGGGGAACCGGAACAGAAGAGAAAAATCCCTCCACCAGACACTTGCCCATTTGAGGAAGAAAAATGGAGAAAATGAGAAAATGATGTGCAGATCAAGAAACTGACTCGTACATACACACAAGGGTTTCCACCCGAACCTTGAGCCTATGCTTAATTATAATTACCTAGCACCTGCTGCTGTCTAAACATTTACGTACTCATGTAGGTGATGGCACAAGCTAATTCACACTTTCACTCGACATTTCAACTTGACCAACTTGTCGAAAATGCCCCTTTGGCATCACTCTCAGGCTACGCTTGAGTCCTTAAACCCGATTGAAAAAAAGCATCGCCATAGATACGAGAAGATGATGTGCAGATCAAGCAACTGACTTGTTTCCACCCGAAACCTTGAGTCTATGTATAATTGTACCAGACATAATTACCCAGCACCTGCTGCTCCCGTCCAATTACTTTACACATTCATCGTCTCATGCAGCCAATGGCGCAAGCTATTTGCCCTCTTCTTCACTCGACATTTCACCGTGACCAACTTGTCGAAACTGCCTACTTACTGTACGTATGCATTTTCGTGGACTCGGCTATGCCGGATCCCGCGAGTCGAGACCAAACGAGTCAGTCTGCCCATTTACCCTTGCAGAACATCCACAGCATCCACTCCATGCATAACAACCGCTGTATCCAAGTCTTCCAAGAACTTTGCTCTGGTAATAGTTACCTAACATGTATCCATATATCCCACCCCCTTAATGCCGTCGACGCGCCTCACATGTTCCTCTCCCCACAGGGCCCCCGAACGCCCCAGGAACTTGCCTGTACATACTTCAGTTCTTATGACTGCTGGCTTTTGGTAGCGATGGCTGCATTAATCAGCATAAACTATCCATTGGCTCGAAATTGATCCCCCAGAATACTTCTGCGGAGCCGCGGCGGCATTAAGGAGATATGCCATGCAACTTGTGTTACAAGTACAAGATAAAAGGAAATGCGCCCTCCAGCAACTGTGGATGAGCCGGGAGCGGCACGCCTACGTCTAGAGAAACCAAAAGCATGCTTCCCAAAGTGTGTTTTCAACATGTCAAACACAGTCCAGTTGCAACGTCGTCTTGATGTAGTAGCCTCAAGTATAATAAAGTCAACAGCAGCGCCGACCCAAGCACCAATCGGGAGTCAACAATCCTTTACAGAAGTCAAGTCCGACAGGCTGAAACTTGGAGTCATACATCTACCAGCTTTAAGCCCAATACAAGCCCAACAAGTGTCTTTTCACCCGAATATCAAGCCAGCAAAGCACGCGTCTAGTCAGTTGCGTTACGACCGCGCCACGCTGGGATAGCCATCGCTCGCAACATTATATGTCAGACAAGGATGTTGGGTCAGATTGTAACTGGAGTCCTTTTGGTATGTGGAGTTGGAACCATGCCGACGTGGGATACTATTCAAGTGGAAGACCTAGCAGATCCGGGGCATTCTTGATCTCACTAGGCCTTGCTCCGTACTTGACAGAAGATACCTCTAGTTCAGCATCAAGGATGGCAATCTGCGAATCGCTGACGACAGCTATTCAGTCCCGACGTGTTCCACTATTTCTCTTGTGGCCATGCCAAGCAACTCAGCAGTTTCCAATCAAGGGCAAGTACAATCTATGTACTGCGTGCATACGTATCCAGTAATCTATCGAGTCCTCGATAATACCCACCATCCTCAAGGATGATGAAGCTTTGTGGGTATCAACTACTACCCCAGACGCCGCTTCCATACTGACTGGAACTTTGAACTCGTCGTTGCTCGGACGTCGGTCATCTAGTTAGTGGGCGTCGTAAAACACAAACGAGGCTTGCGGAGCCGAGTTTCAAATCAAGGCATAATGTCCAGTCTCTTTGAATGAATAGTCGCCTATCACCGGCATAGCCAAACTACGGCTTGATGTCCAGTCTCTTTGGATGAATATCGCCTATTGCCGGCATAGGAAGAAAGTTGGTGTCAAAGAGGACAATGTGGATATCGAGTGGGGCGCTCCTCCGGAAAACGATCTTCATGGGCCTTCATAAAGATCTCTCTGGGCTGCAATGCCTGGTTCTGAGTAGTCACTCCTTTTTCACGACGAACATCCCTTGTTCTGCCCCAAGGAGATGAATGCACTGTAGAGTCCAAAATCGCACCTGGTGTGTCTCGGCAATCATGAAGCGCCAGCGGCGCACGGTGCTTAGCCGTAGGTACAATGTTGTCAAGACGGGAGGCGTTTCGAGAACTCTGTTGGGTGAAATGTCATAAAATTTTTGCGAGAGTGGCGTTGTTTTACCATTGGCCAGTAGCAGATCTATCATTTTTAAGGTTCAAGCCACCACGCAGCAAGGCAGGATTGGCGATGCCAACGCTTAGCCACATCACGTGATAGATTGAGGAAGCACGCTCCACCAAACGTGGCTTGACCATGAAATTTTGTGGGGCAGGCACGATTAGTCAATTTTTTTTTCCCTCTCTCTCGAGGCAACCACAGCCTCTCTTTTTTTTCGCTCTAATCTACCATCACGGCCGTGAACCTACCTACCTAAGGCGAGCCTCTGTCGAAAACAATGGCGGAAGACGCGAACGCTGGTATGTACACATCCAATTTGCAGGCTGGCTCACAAGCTGTTGCAACTCGTCAAGGGAAGCCCGAATTGCTAACCATGGTCTCGCATAGCTTGGCCCTTGGCCGATGCCGCCCTCACTCAGGAGATTCTCGATCTCCTGCAGTCGGCTACTCATCTTCGCCAAGCTAAGAAGGGCGCCAACGAAGGTACGTTCACACTGGGTTAATTCGAGGATGCTCGTCGTAGCAGAAGGGATATAGCCCTTGTGCGTGGGGATGATTAGGGTTATTTGCTAACAAAAGTTGGTAGTGACCAAGGCTCTTAACCGAGGTACATGCGAAGTTGCTATCTTGGCCGCCGATACCGAACCGCTCGCGATTCTTCTTCACATTCCCCTTCTCTGCGAGGATAAGGGCACTCCCTACGTCTACGTCCCCAGCAAGACCCTCTTGGGTCGTGCCTGCGGTGTCAGCAGGGCAGTCATTGCTGCTAGCATCAACTCCAACGAGGCCAGTGAGCTGGCTGGTCAGATCAAGGCTCTCCGCGACAAGGTTGAGCGACTCGCCATCTAAGGAAATACCGATTGCACCAAGACTAGGATTGTGAAAGCATGGCGGACGAGGGGTAGTTCTCAAATCTTGCCATGAATTGGCGTATTTTGATGACTAGGATTCTTGAGGGGACCTGATGGTTTCCAAAAGTTGGGAGTCAATTGCTACCCATGAAGGATCTGACGGACAGTCGGACAGTCTTGCATTAACAGAGGGGAGAGGGCAAGGCATATTTTAAACCTGTATAGGACCTGGTAGGCAGCGTTCGTATCGCACGCTTCAACTAGATCAGTAAAGCAGATGAAACAAGAGAAGCGTTGAAATCTCCGCAGCTGACAAAATTCATTCATGCCCAGCCGTGGTGAAGCCGTGACACATATGCACCCAAGTGCGTCGGAGGTAGGAGGGCGTTAGTAATGACAGCAGAGAGCGAAGGATTGAATTGCAGCTGACACCGGCTGTGTCACCCGCCCACGCGTCTTGGGCCAGATTTAATGGGAAAACGCCGCTTGGTCCGGTAATACTAGGGCTAAAGAAATCAGCATCGCATCAGCTCCGCCAGTAATCATGACAGTGCGTCAATGTGTTGCGGCCCCAAAGCAATCGGCGGCGAGCCACGTGGCAGACCTCATGGCAAGCAGGCAGGGTACAGGGATGCCAGCAAAGGGTGATATCGAAAAGACTCAATCATTTTATTAATATTGAGGGGGGAGCTTTGACCCAGCGCTTTGAGCTCACTGGGCCGGGACAATGTGGGAACAATTGGGCTGGTGCTCTCCCGTGTGGGCATCCAGGCTGAAGGCTTCCTGTCATGTCTCCCCGAGGGCGGATGGCAGCGAGACAAGAGCAGAACAGAGGATGGACGTCGACTCCAGAGGAATAGCCCGTTGGTGGGTGAGCAAAGCTGTCAATGTTCCAAACATGGTACGGGTTGGGGTGGGTGAATGTCAATCAATGTACATGTACGGAGTACTACAGTACATACTTTAAGTAAGCACATGGCTGCATGGGTCACGGTCCCATTCCCATCTGCGTGCGCAACGAGCGAACGGAGTTAAACAAAGAAGCCCGGATCCGCGGACCAGGCAGGACAGCTTGTGCACACCAACCAGACTTCTACATGCGTCCATTGTCCACGACATCAACTCCGATGGCTTCACTATCCGCAGCTTCCCACACCCCCATTCACTCGCTCCCGCTCGCGGCAGCACGCCACACCAGCTCATCCAGCGACCAGACACATGGCTCGCTTGGACCGCTAAGCTTTCGCTAGTCGGCCTGACGGTTGAAGCCGTATCAATAAATACTGGCCGTTGATTTTTTATTTTATTTTTCCGCCCCTTCTTCTTGTTGCCTCTGCTTGCCATTTATCCCTTGTTCTTCGGGGTCCCTCTTATGCTGCTGTCTTGTCGCCAGTCGACTTCTGGTCTCTGGCGTAGATTGCACCCGCAACTTGGCCTCGCATCACGACGACATCCCTTTCCTCTGGCCCATCTCGGCGTCATGGCGTCTACATGTACGGACCCGTCGGGCTCGGCTGCCGCGGCTGGTGCCTCAACCACTTCCTCCTATTCTACGGCCGTTTCTAAAATCCCGGGACGATCCAGTCTTCCCGACGAAGCGGCCTTGAACCCGCATCACATCATCAAGGCCGGCAGAGTGTCTGGATTCAAGAACCCGTACCCGTCGTGGTCGAATCCGGCAAACTTGACTTCCATTCTAAAGAATGTAGTTTGGTGAGTCGATGTAATAAATTCAACCAAGGAAATAAATAAATGTATACACGGTCCTCGGCGAGGCAAACTAACACGTGCATGGCAAGGCCCACGATAACCGGCCAACTCAAACGACCAGACACATCACCACCCACCGTGCCCGTCCAAACCCCCGAATGGCTCCCCAGCCGCACAGCGTCGGACAAGCTGCGCGCGACGTGGCTCGGCCATGCCTGCTACTACGTCGAGTTCCCTTCGGGCCTGCGCGTCCTCTTTGACCCCGTCTTCGAGGACCGCTGCTCGCCCTTCAGCTTCATGGGACCCAAGCGATTCACCCAACGGCCATGCGAGCTCCAGGACATCCCCGTCATCGATGCCGTCCTCATCAGCCACAGCCACTACGACCACCTCTCGCACAAGTCGGTCCTCGAAATCCAGAAACACCACCCCGACGTCCAATTCTTCGTCGGCCTCGGCCTGGAGACGTGGTTCCGCAAGTCCGGGCTCAACAACGTCACCGAGCTCGACTGGTGGGAGGACGCCGACCTCAACGTCAAGGTCAAGACGGGCGAAGAGGAAGAGACCTTGTCCGCGAGGGTCTCGGCCCTCCCCTGCCAGCACACCTCGGCGCGGTCCCTCTGGGACAAGGACACGACGCTGTGGTGCTCGTGGGCCGTTAAATCAGGCGACAAGTCCGTCTGGTTCGGAGGCGACACGGGATACCGCGCTGTTCCGGCCCTGCCCGCGGGCACCGACGACTACGGACCCGAGTATGAGGCGCTGCCGCGGTGCCCGCAGTTCAAGCAGATTGGCGAGCTACGCGGGCCCTTTGATCTGGGCCTGATCCCCATCGGCGCGTACTATCCGCGCGTGGCGTTTTCCGCCATGCACGCCAATCCTTTTGATTCCGTCGAGATCTTTGTCGATACCAACTGCGAGAGAGCCATGGGCATTCACTGGGGCACCTGGGCCTTGACCATGGAGGAGGTTCTCGAGCCGCCCAAGCTGTTGAGGGAGGCGCTGAAGAGGAAAGGGCTACAGGAGACGGGCGTTTTTGATATATGCGATATTGGCGAGAGCAGGGAGTTTTGATGCATGTGCCCCTTTTTTTCTGCGTTTGTGTTTGTGAGTGTGTCTGGTACTATGGGCGTTTGGGATAGATGGAGATTATATTGCCTTTTCTCCCCCTTTGTAACAATTGTTCCTGTGGCTTTGTCGGGCCGGGGGAAATCCGACTGTAACAAAGTACATACGGCGTCAGAAGACATGAGTATAATTTCATGTCCCGCATATTTCAGGTCTTAATTTATCAGCGTATCTACAAGGAAGCAATATCAAATGACAATTTGGCGGCGCTACGATGACGTCTCAAAGCACTTTCTGGGCTCGAAATACCGGGGGGTAAGCGCTGAGCGACGGCCAAGTATATACATCATGATGCAGCAATGTCGATTTCCCACCTCACTCGAGTTTTCTTCGGCCGACCAGTCCTGGCCTTGGCGGCACTGGGCATGTCAGACATCAATGCAAGTTTCCATCCGGCAAGATCCGGCTCGCCCATCGGTGGCGCCACGGCCCATCCTTGATACAAGCTTACTTGGGGCTCCGCCTTGCCACTCGCCACTGCCGCCCGGTGTTGTTAGTATATTAAGCCCCCCAATCTTGGCCTTTTTCAACCTGCAAGCCACCAGACAACCTTGCTCTTGTTCTCTCGAAACAAGCAAAAGACACAGAGTTATTCCACCATCCCCGTTGCAAAAAAAAGAAAGAAAAATCATGGGTCTACCCATTTACACCGGCCCGTCTACGTCAACACCGAATGAGGCGGCGGCGCACGAGTCAGCACCCCGAGGTGCACCGCCCACCGGTGCCGGCGCAAACACTGGTGCCGGCACGACGAGGCCCAAGACCAGCGAGGAGCAGGAGGCGGACCGGCTATACGAGGAAGCCATGGAGGAGGAATATGCCAAGAGAGAGGGCGGGGCATAATCTCAATTCCCTGGCAGCTAATAATACATACATGTACTCTATTCTGACCATGAGACCACAATGGAAGACGGCGGGAGGCCCCCAAGACTAGTAGTGGTGGTCTGGTACTATTAGTGAGAGTGTACAGAAAAAGGCACGCAGAAGGGACTTTATTCTCCCCGCCGTCACTGTATAAAGTCCAGTCATCAGTTCCAGGTATGCCCAGCCGTGAAACACTCGCATCCCCCGCCGCATGGTCCCTTTGTTTATTTGTTTATTCATTCATCTATTTGCATCTTCACCCTTGTCGTCCCCTCACAGCCACGGGGTGCGCCTCCGTATTGTACACGAACTGGTTCGTGGCACCTTGGCCCTGCACATGCACCGGCCCGTCGGCCGCAAAAGTGAGATACAGGTACTTGAGCGTCTCGGCCATCCAGAAGCTCTGCATCTCGTCTACAAAACTACCGCCATTCTTCTTAGAGACGTCGGTCAGCTCGGCGTAGGCGTCGTTTACGCGGCACAGCCTCTGGATCTGCTGGAACGCGTCCCACGCCATGTCCTGGTACTTTTTGTCGCCCGTGAGCCGGTACGCGTAGTAGACGGATTCCACGGTTTCGGGCCGCAGGATGTAGTAGGGCGATGTGTTGTAGAAGCCAGCCTTTTCGTAAAACTCGGTCTGGTTCGTCGGCGGCGGCCGGTTGTTGGGGTTGTCGGCCGAAAGGCCTGCGTCTACCCAGTTGAAGCCCTCTGGGCCGATGCCGGCTGCCTCTTGGACGTACGTCTCATAGTAGGAGTCGGTGATTTCGAGGCCAAGTTGCTTGTATTTCTCTTCGCCGAGAACGATGCCGCCCAGGATGAAGTTGCCGCCGGCAAAGCTGGCCACTGTGTTTTAGACCTTCGTGTTAGTGGGTTGGGTGATCTCCTTTTTAATTTTGTCGTCACACGGCAGGGAAAATGTATTGACGGTGAAGGGAGCTGATGAGGGGGAGGGTGTGTCACTTACAGTGTCCGGAATTGGGGATGGTTTGTTGTCCGCGGTACGCAGACAGGAAAGACAAGTCCTTTCGGGTCGTCGGGTGCGACACGAGATGCTTCATGGTCGAGTCCACTGCGGCCACCCAGCGGTCCTTATACTCGCCAAAGGCTTTAGGGTCGTACACGTACATCTTAATCAGGTACTCGTAGAAGCTGTCGTCATAGGCAGACCAACCGCCATTACTGTCTAAAAAGCTGCCGTCCTCGGTGCTGACCCAGGTGCCAATCAAGCCGGGCCACGCCTCGGGGGCTCCCTTGGGGTGGAGGAGGTAGTTTTCTGCCTTTTGCGCCAGCTCGGCGTACGTCTTGTTGCCGCTCAGGTCGCTGAGACGGGTCCATTCAAGAACCAAGGTGCCAATTTCGGCAATATTGTTCCTATCAGTGCCACTGTTTTTCTTGGTTGGGTTCAGGAAAATGGTTGGGTCGGGAATACCGCTTGGGGTATCAAACGCGACGCTGAGGCTGTCGCCAAGTGACTGGGCTTGCTTCAAGAGCGCATCGACCTTGTCGGCATCAGCTCCCAGGTGCTTATATGGGCCCTTGAGCAAGTCGTACGCTTGTGAGATTGAAATCAATTAGCTCAAACCCCCCCTTGCTTTTTCAAGACCAAGCTCACCAGAAAGAAGGCCGCCCAGATATCGAATGTTGGTCTCAAAGAGCGAAATGGCGTCGTCGGCCTTGGCCGTCGTTGTAAAGTCAATCTTGGTAATGTGATCCAACATTGGCTGTACAATCTTCAAGCTGTTCATGACAATAGCCGTGTCAAGCGCATCGACAACAGTCACTCCCCATCCGGCCCTTTAGAATCCGAGTTAGAAAGGTGAACAGCCCGGCCAATGGCACACATAAGGACGAACGAGATACACCTACCGATCATCCACGTAGCTGTTGGTCACGGGGTGGAGGGTATCGTGAGGGAAGGCGTGCTTATAGTAGCCATTCCACGAAATTTCAAAGGCTTCCTTGATATCGTGGGCTTTGTCATGGTCGGCCACAGGAGCCGTGACAGCGCGTCTGGCTGGCATGGCGAGAGCAGCGCCAGCAAGCTCCAGGAGAAGGATTGACTTGTTAGACAACCGCATGTTTGTAAAGCCCAATCGGAGCGACAGAACCTGGTTCAACACCAAGAGCACATGGAATATGGCGACGAGACACTGCAGGCTCTCCGGTATTTATAGGAAGGTCAACAATCTCGTCTCCAGGGGGGTGCGGCAGAGACATGTGCTCTCTGTTAATATCCAACATCTAAGACATGGCGTCACGATGAGGGCCGAGCAACACGCGTGCCCTGTCCCCCTCATGGCAACGGATATTTGCATTTCGTACCAATCCTGGACGATTCCAGCTTGAGAAAAGATTGACGTAATCTGCAGAGCAAATCAAATAATAACTAGCCAATACAGTACACGAGAGTGGACAGAGCAAAGACGAGCAACGCTCTAGGCAGGTGACAGTATGCGCCCAGTGGCTATTGTGCCACCGTGCCATCGTGCCTTGGTCCAGGTCTGTTTATTGCTCGTCCATGCATCATGTTGCCATGTAAGGCCCGAGGTTCCAACAGACCAGGTAGTGACTTGGTCACGATCTTGTGCTCGATGTTACCCTGGTCCCAGTAGGCGAACTCTGGATTCACAAACACCATATTACATCTGCATGATGGAGTCGGCGATACTTTATGTTGCCTATCGTCTAGTGGTGGGGAAGAGATGAGCTTGCAAGGTTCTCGAATTCCTGCATCATCTGACAGCATCATTCAAGGGCCACCGGCGACTCGTTCCAGCATGGTGCCAAAGCCTGCCCAATGGATGGTGAGGCTTCGGAGGGGTTAATGTAACCCTGCCCAAGATCAGAATGATGCCCCAGACGTGGAACGACAAGCGCACTCACAGGAGTTTGACTTGCCTGTTTGTTGTTCATGGGATAGTATTTCCAACAGCTAAACGAATCTACAGGCAGGAGGACAGACTGTGTGCGGAGCAAAAACGCGAACTGGACGCACGAACTGGACGCACGAACCCGAGACCTGTCTCAAAAATGCTTCGCGGAGCGTGATTTCGTCCTTGTGCAAGCATGTCGTCTAGGAGTGTTACTTTGCAATGTCACGTCCCGCATCTGGGAAATGCACCGTCCATCTCCATCCACATCATCAACAACCCGGGCGTCAACGACCAGCCAAACAGGAAACAGTCGCCGACAGTCGCTTCCAACGGGAAGTGGACGTCCAAGGGGTCATTGTTCAATGACGGATCACTACCATACATACTAGTACTCCGTACTCGAGACAAGTCGACGGCGAAATTCCAAGTCACCCAGTCCTTAAAAGACGACAAGAAACAACAACTGTCGTCCATCTATCGGCAGAAATGGTCGGCTGGCTCCGCATTTTGGAGCTTGTTCCATTGTCTACTCTGCGGGGACGGCGCGGGGGTGTTGTGACGAGGCTTGCTCCATAACAATACGTACATACATGCGTACTATTGTAGTACTTACATATGTACTATACACATAATTCAACTTACAGCCGAGCGAACCATCGTACGTGCTGGACAGCCCAGAGTCTCAGAGTGACATGTTCATCGTGGCGTGGCGCTGGATCTCGGAAACATCAGTTCCGGTTCATTGCTTGTTGCGCCCGCCTATTCGGCAGTTTTGCGGCGCATTCGCCTTTTTGGGCCGCCATGCACCGGGTGTTGGCATGCAGGTCTTTGATATTATTTGTAACCCCTGTTGACACCCTTCGCCATTGTACTTGTGCGGGTTGATTGTTTCCTTCGTCAATAACGAGAGCTCAGCCATTTTCGCGCAGTTTGGCAAGAGCTGCTGCAACGCCACCACTCAACCCATCGTCCATCTTCTCCGCACCGGCTGTCCGGCCCGAGTTGGAGTCTCCCCCGGTTGGCTGTGAAGTCCTTCTCGAATCCTCAATAGCAGCAGCCATAAAAGCCTCTTCCGCATCGTCGTCCTCGTTCTCAACATCGTCATCCAGGAACTGGAACTGCTTTGGAGCAGATCCGCTCCATGAGCCTCCATCTGGCGTCCCCCTTGCGGCGGAGAGGGCACCAGAGCCGGTGCCCACGGTAGGCATA